TGTAACATTGTTATTCTTTGCTCTGGGTTTAAATCCTTGAATTACCTCCCTTTAGTTTTCTGTATATGGCTGTAAGAGTGCACTCATTTGCATTCCCAGAATGGTGTCTGTTTTCAGAACATGTAACAAGGAAAGAGTTAGTCCTGAAGCAAGAGAGGACATTTATATTTGTAGGAGAGTCATACAGATATTTGAAAGGAGTTTCAGAATTAGCTCACTGTTTTCTAGGCTGCTGTGTGTTCACTTTCAAAGTATGTCTTCCCAGAAACTAGTAATGACACTAAACCTGACGCCACAGTACAGCACAGTCCACTGTCCAGATTCAGTTCTGCTGGGAAAACAGACTACATGTTATTCTTCTGAACATCTTTAATTTAGATCTGAATAACAGAAGGAAAGCTGAGAAGTCTGTGCATGTGTATGTGCATGGCTGTCTTTTGTAGATGGAGTGTTTTTGCAAGACATAGAATGTTTTTGGTTTTGTTATTTTGTCATAAGCTTTTAAACCAGAAATGCTGTATTGAAAAATGGGTAAGAACCCACTGAATAGCTTTGATCTGTAGTGAGATTGTATACAGGTGAATAATACTGTAAAAATTGTCCTCCTTCAAATCCTAATCTCCACCCACAAACCTTTTCCTTAATATTCTGAATACTACTGTTCCTGCCTGGAGCAGATTGCTACTTTAATTTCAAATGGGAGAAAACTGTTGATCGTCATTAAGTAAGTCCCCTGGTGCTGCCTGTACTCTTCTGTAACACCAGCTGCGTATGTAGGGCAAGATTACAGTGGAATCTTTAAACAAAAGAAAAAGACAAAAAGCCTTTTCTGCCTAGGTGGCCTTTCTCAGAGCAAAGGCAGCTTTTTTGGTGGTGGAATAGAACTTCTCTTGTTCTGCAGTGCTTCCTATCTGACTGCTGTAGGTTGGTAGTGTCAGCTTCACATAGGAATAATGTTTTTCTTGTCTCAGCACAGTAACTGTTTGGTACCAAAGTGAAAGTACAGAAATAAGTCTTGTGCCCCCAGGGTGGGGTTGTAAAAGTATGTATTCAACATAATTAGGTACCTAATTGGGTACTTAAAGTTAAGTAACGTACATACATGTGTAAGTAATTAAATTATATTGGAAAGTATTTTATTTGTCATGGTTTGTGCTGTCTGCTCCCTACAAATCAAATTATAGGTAGAGTTTATTCTGTAGCTATTTGAAAACGCTTGTTTTCTGGGTAATTTCCTTTTTTAGTTTGGGGATTGGACTTTTTTTTTTCTTTGTGAGGTTAACAAAGCTTAAAAAGCTACCTGTGAAAAAACCAAGGCAGTGTGGAGAATACACAAAGCATATAGAAAAGAGAGACTTGAAAATAAGTAAGTTATATCTAGCCAACTTTGTTATAGTTAAACATCCTGAGGTCAGAAATCACCGGAAACTGTTTCCGTCTGCTTATAAAAGCTAGTGAGCAATGCAGCTCTTTTTTTGGATTGACGTCACAAGCTAATGGTTTTGGAACAGCTTTGTGTAGTAGATTTTTGTGCCTTAATCTCTCCAGAGTAGAAAATGCCACATTAGGGAGAACAATAACACTTTCTTTGTTAGTGAAACCAGCCATTTAATAACAGGGAGAAATTAAGGAATCACACTTTGTACAAAATTGAGTTTTCACTAAATCTGGTGATCAAAAAGAGGATGAGTAACTTAACAATCAGGGCACAGGCAACAAACAGCCTCCAGGGGTATTTGCTGCTTCCAGATTGTTAACAAAACTGTTTTCAGAAATTTCTATTTAAATTGGTTACACATGAGAAAATTCTGGGAAAAAGGCAGTGGTACAGCACTGGAGAATTTCTGAAATTAGACCCACCAGACCTGGAAGTGAGGTTGGTTTCAGTTCATTCACAGTGAAGATCCCCGGAATAGCCCACTGAATGGGGAAATCAGTGAGTACTTAATTTTTGGCTCAAAGCCTGTCCATTAATACAACAGAATATGCCAAATTTATGCAGGATTAGCAACAGGAAAATGCCAGCACTCTAAGTGTGAAGGAAAGACAGACAGCAAGCCACTGGAACAGTATGCCAGAAGAGTGTATGAAAATAATTTCCTTTTTATCATTAGGCTGATTTCTTGGCCATGGGCCTTTTAGTCTACATAGTTCAAAATACTTTTCCAGTGCTTATTTTGATCAGTACCAATCCCTTCCCTTAGGTCAACACTTCCCACACTGCTTTAAATTTAGACCATTGTTGGGTAACCTTTAGCTGTACACCCTGTGGAGAATGGAATATTCTCTGTGTTTCAGTAGTTGGGGCTATAAGTAGGGGGTGTAAATTAACACAACCTGTCAACTGTTAAAGGGAAGCTTATCTATTGTTATTGCCTTTTTATAATACCACCCTTTTACTGGTAACTACTAATGACTAGGGAACAGTTATACTGACTTGGATTACTGTAACATTACTTAGTACACTTGGCTGCATGTGTGCTCTTGTGGACAAGCAAGTGCAGTGTCAGTCAGGCTCACCACGAACTTGATCTGGACCTCTCTTCAGAATTCATTTCAGTAAATCATGTCTCCTGCAGTGATTATTTACTGTCTTTCATGTGTGACCAACATATAAACTATAACCAATAAAGATTACAAGGATGATGCAGGTGAAGTTGTGCTTCGAGTCCCTAGTGTTCTGCTGAAAATCCTGACTTTGTATTTTTTAAGCTCAGAGAGCTTCATTTGCAGGGACGGTATGATTTTAAGTGGTGAATGCTGGTAATAGCTTCACTGTTAAGGAAATTCTTAATTTTTTCCGAGTTATTGAATAACATATGTGAGTAGATATAGTGACTTCTGTGTGTGCAAATGCATGTGTGTGTTTGTGGTTTTGGTGTAACAACTTCAATTACTCCTGTGTATAACTTCAAGCTTAACTCTTTGCTTCTGTTTATTCTTGATCATTCAGTATATTAGTTTCATGCCAAACATATTTAAGTTCATTTCTTTAGATACAGTTCTCCTGCTAGTCATTTTAACAGTTATATGGAGTATAGCAAAGAATTTTAAGATTTTATTTTCTTTTTTCAGACTTAAATTAGAAGTTCCTGATAAGGATTTTTTGTTTTCATACTACATATCTACTGCGTATTTCAGCGTAGATGGAACTATAAAAAATGAACCCAATCATAAATATAGCATGCCTGGGGTTTCCTGTGTATATACTTCTAAAATTTTCTGTTGTGATTATAAATATATATGCTTTTATAATATTTTATCAAATTATTGAAACGGTACTAGTTATGAAAAGCAGTAACAGGCTTCTCTGATTGGGGTATGGTTACTAGTGAGTTGCTTCTCTTGAAGATGATGAAAGGATTTTTAGAGTGCTTTAATCCTAACCAGACCACAGGAGGGGTCTGAACACTGTTCTCAAAACTCTATTTCAATGACAACCTTGCTGCTTTATTTTTAGAAATGGAGTTTCAAACAGAAAATTACATCAAGTTTAATACACTGTGTCATAAGGCGAAGTTCTTAATGTGCCTTATGGTGTGTGGTATGTATTTGTGCAATGTATTTATGCCATCTTTCAAAAATTGCTGATTACTTTTATTGTTCTCTCACTCCTTTTTGTCATGTAGGCGTCCTCAGAAGGTGTGTTTATGTCCATTTCTGCCAATACATCCATTAAAGGTCTCCACCTGCTTGTATATAATTCAGCATCCAGCAGAGGTGAGTAAGGCTGTGATAATTGTTCGAGTTTGGCTAGAACCTTAATTCAGCAAATGGTAGGCAAGAGGAAACAGCTGCGCTGTTAACATCACACAATTTTTCTCTTTAAACTTGATGATTGAAATGCCATTTCACCTGAGTTATTGTATGTTTTATTCAGTTCTTCTGAATTATTGTTTCTTCTGAAATTACATCCTATTTCTGCAACTTCCATGCATGTAAGACATCTTTTCTTATCTGAATTGTCCTGCTAGAGTCTGAAGTTTACTTGCCTTGGTGCAAATTGCAAGAGTTAATCTTGACATGGTCTCTCACAGAGGTGGTCAGGGTTGATCCAGAGAGGTATGTATTTCGATTATAGTAGTGGTCTTTTATTCTTGTTAGCGTTCTGTTAAAAATGTGAATTAAGCAATTCATCTTAGTGATGACCTTAGCTGTTTAGCCAATGAAAACCTATAGTTTAGCTTCAGAACAGTATGTTTTGGTTTACCTAATAGGAGAATTTATGTTGACATTTCATTGTCTGTTAGCTATGGAGTATGGTGATGGATCATAAGGGTTTTAGAAGTTGGACTGCAGTTACAGAGCTGTGGGTAGATGTTGGGTCTACAAATTAGACTGTGAATTTCAGAAACCTGTGCTCTTCTACTTCAGCTGCTTACTGAGCATTATAGAGTAGCTCAGTCAGCACGCAGAGGATCTTTGCCTGAAGAAACTTAAGCAGAATGTAAAAGAGCAAGTTAGAGAAAAATGTTCTCTCACAGACGAATAAAACAGAAGCCATGACATGTTTAGTCTGTCAATGGGAAAGCTGTGATTTTTAATTATAATTAGATTATAAGAAGAATACTGTTTTGTGTTACTTCTTATTTCAAAAATACTTAGGTATACACTTGCTGGAAAAAGAGGTGTAAAAATGTGCCAGAGAACTTTGAACTGGCATTTGAATTGTGTTGAATTTCTTATTCTTGGTGGAGGTTATTAGAAAGAAATTTGCCGATTCTTTTTACATTTCATACACCATTCCTGTGTCCTTCTGGAAGGCCATCTACATTTTTATTAAACAGCAATCACAACAGCAGTCTGTTACAAAGGGATGCAACTTTTGTATTAGTATATGTTACGTAATGATAATTCATGATACAGTAGTTTTGGAAGACCACTGTATTTGAAGACAATCCATCTGAAAGGAAAAATTTAACTATCTGACTATACGAGGACACTGGGCTTATCAGATCAGTCCAAACAAATGGTGGGAAGCTAAGAATACCTTACACTGATATTTGAAAGTGTTTGTCTTAGATGATTACAGGTGGTGCTTTTGACTTCAGAACAGCAGAGGCATACCTGACATAAGTTTCCTTTGCTGTAGCTGCTCATACCCAAAGTACAATAAGTCTTGAAGGCAGATAAGCCCTCTGGACTGGATCTGATCCTTCAGCCTGCCATTTCACTACAGATACGCTCTCAGAGTCTGTTTCAAAAGTACCTCATTTACCTAACCAGGGAGTGAATGTCTTTCCCCTACTGCACGTCAGTGCTGACTGTCATCCTCCATATGCTTCATTATTTATTGGCTTTGGAAGTCTGCAGCGCAGTGAAGTAAGCCACCAACTATGGTCAAATGATGCTATTAAGACTTGTATTCAGGTGAAATAGTAATGTAGGAAGTCAGGAACAACGTTTCCTGTGCTCTGATTAATGAGGCTAAGTCTTCACATTCTTACTATCCAGAGGTCATGCTGCCAGATAGACCTGTGCAGGTATCAGGTACTGTGAAAGAGAGTGTCATGACCACTAAATGAGTGACAGATGCTCTTTTTATCCTCTCTCTACCGTCTCAGAAGAGAAGGGAGAGAGAATAAGAGAGATACAGACTTATGGGTTGAAAAGAAACTAAACTACTTTAATGAAATATTAGTAATAAAAAGAAAAGATAATAATATTACTAAGACAATAATAAAATATACACAAAACCATATCAAGCTCCCAGGATGATGACCATGTCACCGGCAGGCGCTAGGAAAATCCCAGACTGGAGTCAGTGATGGACAGGAACTGGGTGCCGGATCTGGATGCAGGGACACACAGATCGGGATCAAAGGCAGATGCGCAAACCGAATCCTCCTGGCCTGCTGGCCGTTGAAGAAAGAGGGCTGACCCTTTGATCCCTCAGCTTTTATACTGAGCATGAGGCAGATGGGATGGAATACCCTGTTGGTCAGTTTTGGGTCACCTGTCCTGTCCGCTCCTCCCCGCAGGTGGGACGCCGCTATGCTTTTCCGCTTCCGACCCTCCAACGGGGCAAATAAAGTCAGTTGCCTTGGGTGTTATAGCAATAAGTGTAAGCAAGAGCCTCTCTGCATGCCATTCCTTGGCATCAACCATATACATCAGAGCTTATCTGCTAGAAGTAGACATTGTCTGAAAAATGAGCCATTCATTTCAGAGAGTGCAGTTAGTTATGGAGACGTAACTGAAAAGTAAAGTTACTGAAAAGAGAATTGGCACTGTTTCACCTCAAACCAAGACAGAGAGGAATCGCTATTGCAGAGCAGTGGATCTCAGGTGAGGTATCCTACCATCCAGCTTCCATTTTGCGTAATAGGTCCATGAATTAATTCATTTTTCATCTGTGAAGGAATTAAAAGATAATCCAGCATTCCTTGTCAAGGGGTGAATACTTGTTTTCTGAATAATGTTAGAGTACCATTGTTCATAATGAGAGTAACTTAAAAATTAAGTGTATAGAAACCCAGTGTTCTAAACCTGGCATCGGGACTAGTGGAAAGGTGGAGTTATTTGCCTAGCCTAATTTATTTTTCTTTTTGCATATCGATACAGATACACAAAAGTAAATAAAGTATTTTTTTTCTGTTTTCCCTTCTCACGCCTACTGTTATGAGTCTTATGTTGGGTCAGTGGCTTAGCTAGGTATACAAACCCCTGTACACATTTGTCTTACCTTTGCCTTTTATCATCCTTGGAGAGATCTTGGATTATGTGCTTTTCAAAACCTGAGTGACAGGTATAACTCGGGACAGAACCCTTAAAGCATAGCAGAGGCTATCTGTTTAGGTTGTTCCACTTCCCTGTCTTCTTTATCTGATAAGTGTAAGAATTTTCAGTGTTAAGCTTCTGAGAAGAAAACTTAGATTGTGTGGATTTAATGAATTTATATATTGATCTAATGCCAGTAATTAGCTTTGACTTGCTCAATATAATACATCTTCTGTATAGTATTCCTTATTGAACAGTAAGAATCAAATATAAGGGCAAAATTTTTGCTAATTGTCCTAACAATTCATAAACAAAAATGGAGAAAATGTATATCTGCTGACTTTAATAAGTATTTTTATTAGTTACAACTGTGCTGTGCATTGTAGATGGGCAATGCTATGCTAACCAAAAGTACCACTAATTCCCAGAAAAGAAAAAAAAAACAAATGTGAAGTTAAGTTGCACTGGGTCTGGCTGGGATGTAGTTCACTGTCGCTATAGCATCTCTCATAGTGCTGTGCTTTGTATTTGTGGCTAGAATGATCTTAATAACACACCAGCGTTTGAGCTACTGCTGAGCAGTGCTCACGCAGCATCAGGACTGTCCCTCCACACCCCCTCCAAAGGCCAGTAAGCCTAGGGGTGGGAAAGAGATTGGGAGGGGACATAGCCAGGACAGCTGACCCAAACTAACCAAAGGGATATTCCGTACCATATGATGCAATAAAAGCTGGGGAGTGGGGGGCAGCATTTGATATCAAGGCATTTATCTTGTGGAGTAACTGCTACATGTGCTGAGGCCCTACTCCCCAGGAAATGGCTGGACATCTCCTGCTGGTGGGAAGCAGAGAGTAAAATCTTTTTGTTTTCCCTTGCTTCCACACACAGCCTTTATTTATTAAACGGCCTTTATCTCGACCCACAAGTTCATTTTCGTCTTATTTTCTCCTCCCTGTACTGCTGAGGAGAGGGAGTGATAGAGAGTGGCTTGGTGGGCACCTGGAAGCCAACCAAAGTCACCCCACCACATAAGTCCTCCAATCCTATTTCTATTTAAGTACTTCAGTGACCAAATAATGAATAAACAAAGAGTTGCAAATCACTATTAGAACACTGAGAAGAAAAAAGGAGAGCGTAACTGCTCACTTCCAAACTAGCAAATGGAAAATAGCCGATACGTTAACAAATAGGTTGTATATAGTCTAGTTAAATACAAGTGGGTTTTAATGAAGAAAATTATAAACAAATGAAGCCTTTTTTTGATGTTAGTTTGATTTAGCTGTTCTTAAGCTTCTGTTCTCAGACAATTCCTTTCAGTTTTTAATTTTATGTTATATCTTCCTGTAAACATGGATTGGTTTTTAGGTTGGAAAATTCCACTTTTCCTGTTGGTAAGAGAATGTATTTATTTGATATGAAAGGTAATTCTAGAGTAATGATACAGCACTGGAGGGAACAGTTGAATGGCTTTCCCTTGACTGATGATAGCTCTTTTGGTTTTGCTTATCAGAGACAAATAATTGATTTTCTTCCAGTTCCTTTATTGCCACTTCTTATATTCTTATGAATGCTGAAGGAAGTCTTCTGACTAGTGAATTGGAGTGTTATTTAATTAGGATGAAATAAAGACCAATAATACTGTACCATCATTGATGGCTTATTCTGCTTTGCTGAGACAGAAGAAATCAATAGTAGTTTGAACGATATTTCTCCCTCCCCTTGCTAGCACTTCACTCCCCAGGTACTTTCATCTTCATCTGTCCCTAGGAAAGACATCACGCTGCTGCCGCCTTGCAAAGTGTTGGGGGACGCAGCAGGACAACTTATTCCTTTAGCTCCATGATATTTATTTAGATCAGTAGATATGGATCAGAAAAAGCCAAATTAATAAAGATTTTAGGTAACAGTGATAAAAGTCTTCACAGAACTAATTTAACAGCAATTTGGTAGCAAGACAATGTGAGAGCTGCAGGCAGCTACACATTGATACTTGTGGAGATACCCAGAGAGAGCTAATGAAGGCATTATGTGTTCACAAATACTGCATTGTTGATATGCAGCTCATAAATCAAAAGACGGACCAAAGCCCCCTGGGTTTTCATTAATTAATTCTGTGGTTTAGGGACTGATCTTTGGATTTTCATTGTCTGAATCATGAGACACTCAGGTTGAGAATATTGTAAGAACTAATTTCTCACTGGGTTTGGGGCTTTCATAATCCTCACCTGACTTCTAGTGTCTTGCCTTCTGCTTGATTCAGCTAATAACCTTTGTTCCTTTTGTGATACATAAATAAACTGAAACTTTCATTCAGGTTCTGGTGTTGGCTTTCTGTCTTCATTAAACGCAAGATAAACCTATGCTCCCTCTCCTTGATGGGAAAACAAAAATTGACATCCTGTATATTCAAGTTCAGTTTCAATACTTCTTGTCTAGGCAAAAATGAGTGTGCTCCCATCTGTGTTAAATAAAGGACAGAAACAAATTGCTGTGTTTGATAAGTAGATGGTTTGCTTCAGCTGGCTCTGCTTCCCTCTTCCTGCACTTTCTGAAGCTTTGTTCCAGCCCAGCTCTCTTAAATGCTCTTTGAGATCTGAAGAGCCCCTTCTCCCCACCCAGGCACAGCAGTCACCTTCCTCATCTGTGGCATAAAGATGTAGGCAGATGCCTGGTCAACACAGCCTGAATGGCACGAGGTGGAGTACTCATGGCAGTGTTGGTGCTGTTGTCCTGGTTACTGTAAAGTCACAGCAGAGTGGAGATGTTTGTATTTCACACTGTCTGTTCTGATACGCCCAGTCCTTTTATTTTTAGCACCTGTTTGTGGAAATCAAGCCCTTCCCTCATTTTCCATTATAGAGACATTAGCTGCCCAACCAATATTAATGCTAATGCTGGGGTTTGCCTACTGTTTATCATTCTGTGAAGTTTTGTTGTTGTTTTTGATACTGATAGCCTAGTTCAGATTTATGCTGATGATCATAGGTTAGTTAAGACTAAGTTTAATACTGTCAGTCAAAACAATATGATCTGAATGCATCAAAATGGGTATTTTTTCTTATAGATTTTTTTTTTTTCTGTTACCTGGTAAGATCTTTTCTGTGTCTGTAGTCATAGAGTCATAGCACTGCTGAGGTTGGAAAGGACCTTTATGATCATCAAGTCCAACCATTAGCCTACCCTGACAAATCACTTCTAAACCATGTCCCCAAGTACTATATCTACCCTTTTTTAAACAGCTCCAGGGATGGTGAATCCACCGCCTCCCTGGGCAGCCTGTTCTAATGTTTTCAGTGAAAAATTTTTTCCTAATATCCAATCTAAACCTTGTCTGACATAACTTGAACCCATTTCCTCTCGTCCTATCGCTTGTCACCAGGGAGAAGAGGTCAGCCCCCACCTCTCTACAACCTCCTTTCAGGTAGTTGTAGACAGTGATAAGGTCTCCCCTCAGCCTCCTCTTCTCCAGGCTAAACAACCCCAGTTCCCTCAGTCGTTCCTCATAAGACTTGTCCTCCAGACTCCTCAGCAGCTTTGTAGCCCTTCTTGGGACACGCTCCAACACCTCCATGTCCTTCTTGTAGTGAGGGGCCCAAAACTGAACACAGTACTCGAGGTGGGGCCTCACCAGGGCTGAGTACAGGGGGATGATCACTTCCCTAGTCCTGCTCACCATGCTGTTCCTGATACGGACCAGGATGCCGTTGGCCTTCTTGGCCACCTGGGCACAGTGCCGGCTCATATTCAGCTGGCTGTCCACCAACACCCCCAGGCCCTTTTCTGCCAGGCAGTTTTCAAGCCACTCTTCCCCAAGCCTGTAGTGCTGCATGGAGCTGCTGTGACCCAAGTGCAGGACCCGGCACTTGGCCTTGTTGAACCTCATACCATTGGCCTCGGCCCATTGGTCCAGCCTGTCCAGATCCCTCTGCAG